TCTGATTAAACTGATGCCAATGATTCAAACACCGTTGCCTTCTGTCATGAATTTCATCTACGCCTCTTCATCTCTCCTTGGTTTTTGTTCATTAGATCTGATGCCTGTCGTTGAAGATTTGTTGCTATATTTGATCTCAGTCTCTGATCTATTAATCTGATTCTGATGCGCTAGTGTTGCTATTTTACGTCCGTCACTTTAATCTAATTTGTCACTCTTCACCGGTATGCTTGCTCACTGATTTGTTTAAAGGTCTGGAATCTTTCAGTTGTTATCTTAATCATTTTTCTTTACTAGTATCTTTCACGTGATTTGTTGGATGAATGGACTACTTCGCTGAAGATTAGTATGTTGTTAAAATTGTTGCTAGTCTTTATTGTTGAGATGAAGAATTGGTGTTGAATGTTCTATTTTGCATCCTAAAGTAATTGGAAAAGCTTCAAAGGATTGAGTTGAATTGAATAGTCTATCGACTAAGCGAGATTAAAGTGATTGTTGTAGAGTAAGTATATAAGAATGGTGACTGTTGAAACAAAGCTCTTAGACTTATGTTGAGCATTGAGTTTCTCAAATAGTTGTGGGTATGTTGCTGAGTATTCCAGTAAACATAATTTTAATATTGAATAGTCCACTGCCAAATAAATAAAGAAAGAGCAAATGGACATGGTCAGTTGTTCAAGGAGAGGTAAACACATCGATACTGATCGGAAAAAAATGGAAAAGAAAGGAAGAACGATTCCAGTAAATTTTCAAACAACACATGTACAGTTTGCTGATCATATGTTCAAGGAAAGGAATATGCCGAGTAATTGATCAAGCCAATGCCAGCTTTCAAAAGCTGTTAAAAAAAGTTATAGAAGAAGAAGTAAAGAACTCAATACCAACACATGTTCAATCTTATTGAAGAAGATCAAGGAAGTTGAAAAAGTTGGGTGAATAAATGTTGTGTGGATGGGAAAGAAGAAAATAGTGAATTTGTTGTTCAGATAATGTCAAACGACTGGTACACTGATGCAATCACTAGCTGAAAATAAATTTTTTTTCAAGAAGGTTCAGAAGGAAAGAAGAGGAGGGTGAATGTTAGAATATAGTTAGAAGTAACTATAATTAGTTGGAAGTTTGTTAGTAATAAGTAGTTAATATTTGATTGTAATTTGGGCTATATAAAGCCTGGCTTAGAAGAGGGTTTTGACCCATGCATTTTGTAATTCATTTTCACATGTCCTCTAATAATTCTAGCTAACTCTTTCACAGCTTCTCATCTCCATTCACTGTCGTTTACCTTTTGGGCATCTCTTGGCCACCATGCCTCCTTTCTCACACAAACATCTTCCAACTTCAAAGGTAGCTACAGCCTTTGACCTAGGGGACAAACTCACAACAGGAGAACTCGCTTCCCTCTCTCCCCAATCGGTGTTACATCGATTTCCCACTTTTCTGTTTGAAAGCTGATGTTTTTTTTGTTTTTGTTTTTTCCCTTTCAGAAGTTCCTCTCTTCGAACCTTTTGATGCTTTATTTGCTTTCAAACGAGATTTTTTTTCCTGCTTGCTACACCCATCATTTCACCGACTGGGAGAGTCAGCTGCTCACTCGGTATTGAAATTTGGTTTACATTACACGTGGCAAGAAAAAACGTTGACTCCCTTCCAACCGATTCAAACTGAAGCCAATTATCGACTCCTATTGGGGACATCGAGCAATCTCGAAGCATGGGATATGGACTGATCCGCACTAAAGTCTCTGGGCTCCAACATGTCATATGCTGGCCCAATTTCAGCTTCTACCTCCCTAGGGACCAGACCCCTACCTAACATGATGGGTACTTCGTGGAGTTCATCTCTCTGCGTAATATCCTAACACGTAACGTTTATACTACCCTCTGACCTAGAAGAGACAAAAGCAACTCCCTCTGCATCATTTTGCATGTCTTCGAGGTCTATGTTCCCCCTTATATCATTTTCCTCGAAATCTCCTTCGTCATTAATTAATTCCGTAGATCTTGAGATACCAATCACTCTAGCCATGTCGCATCATTCCTCACCGTTGGAGATCAGTTGCCCATCTATGAACCTTCGTTCACCTTCATATTCTTCCACTCGAACCTTGATCAGGGACCTGCTGCTGTTCACACTAACATGAACTTTATCTGTGTAACATCTTTTATATCGGGGTAGTGATTAAATTGTGAGATTTAAAAATTCAGTGACCAAATTGGATAAATTGAAAAGTTCAAGGACTTGATTGAAATGTTTTGTGTAGGATTAATTAGCAAAAAAGGAAGAATTACAAGGGCGAAAGAGTCTTTTAGCAAGGAAGTAATTAAATATTAGTTGAGGATAATTATATATCCACGTGGAAAGCTATTGGGAGAACCAAAGTTTCCAGATTTCTCTTATTCTTTATTATTCTTCTCCATCGTGAAGCCAAGTTAAATGTGAGTTTTCTTGTTAGTGAAATTCTTGATGAATTTATGGTTGATTTATGACCATTAGACAATAGTTAAGCTTAAAGGAAATTTAATTTGGTTTAAAACCATAAGATGAGGAGTACATGAAGAATTAAAAAAAGAAAGTAGAAAAGTGAAATCTTGGAATAGAGTTCATAATAAGAATTGGAAGTGAGATTTGACTTGTCATTAAGCTAATTAAGGAATAGGAAGTGTTAGAATAGGGATTAGAACATGTTGGAATTTGAGTGAGATTCTTAAATTCTATAGGGAAGATTGGATTTTTAAGTTTTAGATGTATTGAATGGATAATAATTAGTTTAAGTAAGTGTATGCAAGTTAGAGATATGAAAAGAGGTGAATTATGTAGTGTTGAGAGGATTATGAAGGGATTTTCGTGCTCAAAATAATATTTCTAGGTTAAGTGCATCGATACACATTCAATGTGTACCGATGCACTCTCAAATAAATGAACATCGAATGCAATTAGTGCATCGATGTATAAGGAGTGCATTGATGCACCCCCTTGAGAAGAAAACATCGAATGTAATTTGTGTACCAATGCATGGGTAGTGCATCGATGCACACATTAAGGAGTGCATCGATACACTGTAGAGTGCATCGATACATACCTTTATTAAAAGATGAAAATAGCTTTTCTTTTAACCTAAGAAATGATAGTTTAGAATATATAATTAGTATACTGATAAGTATCAATGTATTACTATGTAGATACAGAGCTTAAACAAGTTCCAGAACAATTGCCCAGTAAGATCGATCGAGGGAAAGGCAAAGAAATATAGGTGAGTGCATATGCATAACATGATTATCGTAGTGTATTCAGTTCTAGACTTGTGATAAGTCTATATTCAATACATTGATACATGATTCATTTCATATTATGAAATGTAATAGAAATTCATACTATGTGCATTGTGTAATATGTTTTAAATGAATATGTATGCAAAGTTATATGAACTATGTGATGAAAGTAAGGAAAATGATATGTTTATGTGATATACTATGTAGATTGAGAAAAGCCCATGTTATGTAGATTAGAACTATAGGTATAGTTGGCATGCCAAGAGTAGAGGGTCTACGCAATCCTTCGGGACATATATATATTCTTTGGAACATGTGTGATGTCTTTTGGGACACGTACTTGATCCTTAACATATATATATGATTCTTAAGGAATTTTCTACGTGGTCCTTAGGGACGTCTTATATAGCACTACGGTGCAATTCTACGCGGCACTTTGGTGCAATTCTACGTGGCACTTCGGTGCATTTATACGAGTTGTGGTGATAGCATAGTGCACAACCTTACAGTACTCACATACCTTAGGTTCTCAGTATGGTATCATGGGCCAATAAACTTATTAATACGAATTCATGAATGTTAATGTAATACGCTTATAGGTAAGGAACATGGTGATATAACTGCATTGATTAAGTATATGACTTCATTTCATTTCATCTCATTATGGCATTTTCATTACAATTCCTTGTTGTTATTATTATTATTTTTCCTCACTAAGTCGATGACTTAGCGTGTGAGTGTTTCACACGTAGGATCTGAGAAAGTAGACGAGACAGGTTAAGCAGTTGGACAACATTACTCCTGAACTATCATATCATAAGCAACTTAATCAGTAGGTCATTTTGTTATGTAAATGAATGTTGGCATGTAATCAAATGGTCAAGTTGTGAATGCTCTGAGTATTTTGATAAACTTGTATTAACCTATGTATATTATCATATTTTAGTTATATAAGTCCAAATGTTTTATCATTTTTTAAGAATATTGTTTTTGATAGTCAATGTGACATCCTGGACTCGTATCCGGGTCGGGTATGGGTTGAGGGTGTTACAATCTGGATATTAGAAGATTTCTGCACCGTCAGTAAAATTCTAGTTTCATCAAACATGTTGTGTCTCGTCGTATCCTCATGTATCGTGTTCACTGATCCTCATCTATTACATGTCATATTTTTACTTGTTATATTGATATGGATCGATACATTTTTTATTTGTATCGACACAAACCGACAAGCTAAGTTTGTTGGTTGCCAAATTTTTTAATATTTATTCATGATTTCCACCTACAACATTATTATTACTTAACATTTCCGATAGCGCTAAACCGATTTTGTTAAATATCTTTTAATGTATCCGGTCACTCCGTATATTAGTCTGTCTTTCCAGAGACAACCCCCTATTACATATCTTTTTCAAAAAAAATATGTATAATTAAAAAGATTATGTATTTATAGAACATATTGATACAAATTCATGATTACACGTTTACTAAGGAGTATTTTATTAGCACACTACATATTTGGGTGTAATATTATTTAAGGATATTCAGTTTTAGTGGGAGATTGTAATTTTAATACTCATTTGTGATAAATACAATTCAAATTACTTCAGTTTAAGAATATTTATTTTAAGGCTATTTTCTACATAAATAAATTTTTTAAAGGATATGGACTTTTGGCACATGGAAGTTGGAGTTAATACTAGTTGATGCTTAAGGCGTATCCTTAAACGGATGACTGAGGCTTTTTCAGTTTTGTCTGCTGGCGCAATGAAGGTAGGAGAACTTTGGGAAGAGATTCGGGTGAAGGGTGTCAAAGTTCTTTGGCAAAATCTGATTTGGTTTCCTCTCCACATCCCTAAGCATAGTGTGATTGCTTGGATGGTATTTTTGGATAGACTTCCAACAAAGGATAGGTTGCAGTGTATGGGGCTTGAAATCGGAGTTAAATGTGCTAACTGTAATGATGCTTTGGAGACAATGGATCACTTGCTCCTTGAATGTACTTTGGCTTCTGCTATATGGGAGACTGTGTTGAATCTAAGTGGTTTGAGGATAAATTCTTTGTGTTGTGAGGCTGAGATAGCATGGGCTAGTGGAGCTTGTAAAGGAAAGTCTTTACTCACAACAATTATGAAGCTAGCTTGGTGTGCTCAAATTTATACCCTCTGGGAGGAGAGAAACAGAAGATTGTTCTAGGGCTACTATAGAAATGTTGTTAAGATAATTAAAGTTGTTAAGGATATATTTCGTATACAATTAGGGGGTAGGAACATAAATAGACTTGATAGTGTTAATACTACTCTTTGTAATCAATGGGTATAGTTTAATCGTTGCATTGTTTTGTAAGTAAGGTGGTCGATGTAATCAGGTTGTTGATCCTGTATTTTTGTAGCAGGAACTCCTCTTCTTTTGGTAATAAATTGATTTATCCAAAAAAAATTGTTTTGGTTTATCTACACTCTGATTTTAGTAAATTTTATATCACTAATGTTTAAAGAGGAGCTGGAAATATGCATGTTTGGTTCACATTGCATGTAGTTTTCATGCTACACTTCATGATTGATCTATGTCATTTGACTATGTTTGTATACGTGACCATTAATATGTCTAGTCATGATTGATACGACGAATACTACTTTGATCCTATATGAATATTGTTGATCGGCAAGATTGTTATAAAATATCTATTACTCCCTCTCTCATATTAAATCTGTCCATTATTGACTTTTTTATTAATATTTTTTAACTTTGACTTATTATTATTTAAAATTTAGTATTGATAAAAATATGAAAAAAAAAATCTTCAATCAAGTAGTTTTTAAATATATATTTTCTAAAATTTAATTATTTGAAATAATTAAGTAATCATGATCAAAGTTTAAAAATTTTAACTTTTTAAAAGTCAATAATTGATAATTTTTATGGGTCAAAGAGAGTATATGATAGTAAATTTTGAGATCACAAGGTTGTACATTTATCAGGAAACATATGTTGCCCTAGTGGGATATTGTTGTATTAAAATCCATAATTGTGGGTACATCGTAGGAGATTGTTGTATTAAAATCCATAATTATGGAAACATATGTATAATATACAATTTTATCATAAAGTATGACATAAAATTAAGTGACCAATTATGTTACATGTGTCATAGGTTTTAAAGTGTCATGAAATTAAAGTGTTGATACCATAAATTGTATTTATAATTTGATGAAAGACATAATTATAAATACTTAAGAGATTAACCTAAAATTCATTCTATATAAAGAGGTAATAGTCCTCAAGAAATATGTTAACTTGTATTACTCTCATCTCGTCAAAGTTTTTTTACGGCTAGAGCATACATATCTTCTTGGAAGATCACAATCAAATAAAGACTCAATGATTTCAATCTATCAATTAATTCAGTTATATTTATACGTCTAATATTTTATTCTTAATAATTTGACATGATTAAATTTTTATATTTATTAGGATTTGGTTCTCATTCACGATTAAAAAAACTAAATTGGCTTAGTGGCAAATGTGTGCATCTTATTTGCAAGGTCTTGCATTATCAATTTGTTGTTCTTGTTGAGCTTTAATAGCAGCCTTCACTTTATCTTTGTCCACATTAGTCTGCAGAGCCAAACACCATCAGCAACACATATAACATATACATTTTGACCCGGTTTGTCATTGTCGACATCAAGAGTTGAATCCACAACTGCCCATGTTATCACTGCAACAACTTGTATCTGTCATTTTTCTTTCCTTTTTCCTATAAGTTATAGAAATATTGTTATGATTTACATCTGAAGTTCAGAGTTTAGCTTAGTGGCAAGTGTGTGCATCTCACTTGCAAGGCCTAGGTTTTTTTAGCTTCTCACACTTTTCTTGTAATCGGTTTTTCTTCTAATCATATAGCGATATGTGTCGTAATTTGATTGGAAGATTAAAATTATTGAATTGATTTAAAATTAAAATCAAATTGAAAGAATGTATAAATTATAAGGACTAAATATATAATTACACTAAATTTATTAACTATCACGTTAGTTGCTCCGTTAAACTTTAACGACATGTAATTTGTTTCCCTCTCACTTCCCATTTTTGCTTGATCAATTCCACAACTGATGTCTATTGTTGTGGCAAGAGATAAAAGTTGTACAATTCAGGTATTATCAGTTTCAACTATAACCTTGTACCTCAACCTAATTTGCGTTAGCCTTGATCCATCCCTCGAGTGATCTCGTCCAATTAATCAACAGCTGTCTTACAAACGAATAGAAAGTTTCATTTTGAATTGTTGTGTTAATGTAAGTTATCCAAAAGCCACCCTTTATAATGGTTTCCTTGTGAAATCATTATCTCTTCTAATTAATTACGCTCAGGATGGACAAAGGCGTAGATAACCATCGACGCTACTTTCATCGAAAAAATGGGAGAGAACGCGTCATAACATCTAGGAGCTAGAGGGCCTTCCGGTTCCATCCAAAAATCCGCAGTACAACCATCACAAACCAAATATTTCAACAGCTGCATTCCAATTAACAAGATGAATACTCTTTTTATTTTTTCATTAGTGGAACCCCAAACCAAATTTTTAGTAATCCTCTTCTTTGCCTCACAAACATATTTTGGAATATCTGAAGTTTGCATAATATAGGTTGAGATCGCCTGAACAACAGCCCTAGGCCTTAGCAAGCTTAACTCTGGCTACCTGCAAGGGATAGTGTTTTTGCCGCACGACTTGAAAGTTGTGTCTTCATTTTATCAATCAACTTGAATTCCCATGAAATTTGGGACCGAACAATTGTCGGTTTCAAAGATTAACGATGGTCAACGGTGGATGATGATTATTTTAAATCTTTTAAAATTTAATAATAAAAATAATATTTTATTATTTATTTTATATTTTAATAATAATAAAAATGTCACATAATATCAAAAAATAATATAATAATTCAGAGTGACTAGAACAGAAGCAATTCGAAAGTTTAGCGAGTAAAATGAAAAATTAAAAATACAATGAGTAAAATAAGAGAAATATTAAAGTTTAATGAATAATGGTGTAATATACCCCTCTCAAATATTTACTCAAGTCGGTAGCCTCTTCATATAAAATCCCCTAATGATATCATCACGGTTTGAACTTACGTTTATTAGTTACACTTCTTGAAGATCCTCCTCTTGAATTCCTCCATATCCTTCATGAGGACAAGCTAGGCAGTGCCCTACTGTAAACTTACGTTTATTAGTTATTTACACTTCAGAATAAAAAAAATCATAATATTAATCACAGTTTCCCGAGCCATGGCTAAACATCTCTAAGATTCCTTGATATTCACCATTAATGGACGTATGCTTTTAAGCATCAATAAAGGCCGAAGTTTCATTGTAAAAAATGCTATTAACTCCAATTGTAGTTAATTAGCATCATTAGTTAAAGGAAGGTTAATTTTATGAAATTGTATAATTGAGTGCTTACTGTATTAGTGAGCTTTTCGGATGACATTAAGAAGTGCTTACCATGTTAGTGAGCTTTTTGAATAATATCAAACATATCTTTAATTATTGAAGTAGTTTAATTTGTGCACAAACATTATTATATTTGCCTCACCAAAAATATTGATACCAAGATGAATGTGTGTATACATATGCGTAACATTTATTATTCAATATTATATGATTCATATAAATACGTGATGATAACTAAACAAATCTTGGCACGAATGAAGCGATTTCGGTGGTAAATGAATTGTTGTTGTTCATTGAAGTCTTAGGTTCGAGCAGTAGGAATGCCATAGGGTGTAATCATTCAATGTGTTAAGTAGTTAGTTACATGTGGTCATTCTTAACACATGTTATTCATACTGTTAAGTGGTTGTAACAACTGTATAGCAATTAAGCAAGCTATCTCTAGCTCCTTAAATAGCCAGCCCTCTTGTATGATTGACACAATTCTTTAAATACTATCTGATGCATTTCTAGTATACCTTTACTTGTTAATATGATATCTTTCGCAGTGAGATCTTGAAATTGCTTCGTTGGGTTTTGCTTGTTTTTCTTCTTCTTGATTTCTTCTTGAATTATGGGTTTTGAAGCTTGCTATTTATGTCATGGTGCAACCTACGACAATTTCTGAGGTAGTTGAGGATGAGCAGATCACTGATACTAGCTCATACACTTTCTCTAATAAAAGGATTAACGTGTGTTTAACTGACTCGGACTACCTTCTTTGAAAACAATAAGTGAAACTCACGATTCGAGGGCTAGGTCTTGAAGATTATCTTGATCAATCCATGTCGGTTCCAGCCAAGATGGTTCTCAACAACGTCGATGACCAGATTGTTAATCCGACATACTTATGCTATGTCAAGCAAGATAGCTCCTTGTCTTCTTTCAACAGTAAGACGTAACATCTTACCACAGTTAGTTGGTGCTGAGTCTATAGCAGCAGTTTGAAATGCTATCACATGGTTATACTCTAAGCTCTCCACTACTAAAATAATGACTCTACATTGTCACCTTAGGTCAATGAAAAAAGGCACATAATCCAAGAGAGATTACACGATGGCTATTAAGGAATTTGAGACCTTCTAGCTACGTGTGGTAATCCCATTTCTGATATTGATCACATAGCCATTATTCTTAATGGTTTGTCAGTCGAATATGAACCAACTGTTGCCGCTATTATAGCGAGCAGAGAACCGTTTGCATTGGAGAATGTAGTGTCTGTTCTCATTGATGTTGAGTCTCGTCTTGATGACTCATCTCGCTTTCCAGTAGGAGTAAACTTTACTCATTATAACACCAATCAGGTTCCTGATGTTCATAAACACAAATGACATGAGGGTTCTAAACCCAACAACAATGCTGGAAATACATACAAGGGACAACCTAGGTAGCAATGTCAATTATGTGGAAAGGTCGGACATATTGTGGATAGATGCTTACATAGGTTCGATCAAAATTTTAAGGGAGTCTCAACTCAAAAGAGTTCTACGGCTTCTGAGGCTCAAGCAAATATCTGTTCGTGTTGTCCTCGTGTCTGAATATAATTATACTCCTTTTGTAAATGCAAATGTAGGCGATGAAGGCTCTCCTGACATGGAACCAGTTAACAACATTCAAGTCAATGCATTAACGGCTGATGATCCATTGAACTATGCTAAATGGCTCCTCGATTCAGGAGCTACCCATCATGTGGCTAG